GAGTGTTCAGAGCCAAAAGTCTCGGTATCTTCGTCTGGTCCATCTACTACCGGTACTGCCCTTACCGGTACTGGGACGCTAGTGAATAGCCCCCACCGCGTTTCCCCCAAAGCCCCAAATTATCGCATTTCAGTCTGAGCTCTCAAATGTCGCCATGCTTGTTACAACTACCAGCGTTGTGCTAGAGGGAGAAGGCTGTGAAGGAGTTCCAAGAGGTAGTCCGCAACCCCTAAAAGTCATGTGCCATAAGCACCGACACACCTTCACACAGTCTTCAACAAACATGGCATCAGAAACTATTCAGTGAAGCTCAAGGCCGAGCTAATAAACCCTACTCCAAATTTCCTCAAGGTGGCTAAACTTCTGTCCTGGCAGCTCTGTCTCCGCCTCCATTCTTTTCTCTCCTGCTCTCCTGCACAAGTCACTCGCGGACGCACTTGACATTCTTGCCATGCTATCTGATTCCATCACTCCGGCTGGCTTGGTCATGGAAATCATTTCTTCGATACAACAAGCTTTGTTGCTCGGCTATAGAGTAGGCAGGGCTGAATAGACGGGACCATACACCCTTGGTGGCTTGCGCAACCACTATTACAACGAGCTGAAGACTCGAGATGGAATAACGCAAGTATGGTCTCCTACGACTTGATTGCCATCTTGATCGTCTTTTCCAACTGATTAATTGATCAACCATTTACGTGTACATATTGGACTTTGGGCACACCGTACTTATGGTCTGTCTATGGCACTGCACTGGCATTGATTCACCAAGCCGGAACGACCATGATTGCCTTACTTGCCCTTGATTTTGCCCCTTCGATCCGGCGTTATGCAAAACCAACACCAGCAACCATGTTCCAAACACAGGAACTATCACGAGTGGCAACGACCTTTGCAGTAAATTGGTAATCCTACCGACGTATATTGTAAACATAGAAATGTTCAAGGGTGGTCCCAAGTTTCATACTCGACAAGTAATTGAGGGTTTCGGGAAAAACGCTACAAGCGGTGCAGGCAAGGAAGTCGTTTGCTACTACTATCAGGCCGACAAGAGCACAACCAGCATGCAGCCAAACATTCCAAGAGACTTTGGTTTACCTGAATTCCATCTTTTCCAAATACAACCTCTCAACCGATACTTTTTGCGAAGTTGAAAATTCCTTTTAGACATGCAAACGTTGTATTTGCCAAGTCTAACGACAGATTCTCACTCGGATTGTACTGGTATATCTTTTCGATGATGAAGGGGTGAACAGGTAGAGCTACCATAGCCAATCTGTGTCTCCAAGTATGACATCTTCGTCGATCAGTTGGGGCATACTCTTTACGAGTCTTGCACTCTAATCGTTACAAGATCTTAGGTTATAGAGGAGCTGTGCAACTCACAAAGCGATGGGTAAAGAAGAGATGATGACCTAAGGCTCCTCACGTAAATGGCCTTGCTTGGTGGTGAGATATGATCCAAGGCGTTTACCCTCCATAGCTTCTTTAAACCCAAACCATCTTCACAATTTCCTACAATGTGTGCCGCTTTCTCTTACAGTTAACTAATTGATACTGTTCTTTGCCTAGAATTGAATACTCCGTTTGTTGCTATCGTAATTTTGATGGGAAATCGACAGGTTTGAGACACGGCAAGTCTCTAGGAGGTGTGGCACCACATACAAATGGTATGGGAGAAGCAGCAAGCATCTTTGCAGAGCGCAGCTATTTCTTACAATCCTCCAGCTGACACTTAAAGTCAATCAATCATCCAAGGGGACTATTTGAATACCACATGAGAGCATTCGCCGGTTATATGACGCCAATTATCTCTTCCCGTAGGACAACTATGACTCCAGGCCAATCACTCATCATCAGAGAATAAAAAGTTCTTCCTAAGTCTAATAGAAACTCCAATCCCATGTTCACATTCATGAGAGCTGCTAGTTTTAATGATCCAACTGTTCGCAATATTCAAGTCTGCCATCGGTTATAAACGAAATGGTCTATCATTTACCATAGCTAGCGTGATACGCACAGTGCTTGTTTAAGCACCCCAACATCTTCTTAGCTCTAGAGTATGTCAAATAAAGTGGTGGAGATAATATGTAGTTTGTGTGCGCGAGGCCTGGCAGTGCAATCGGATCAAGTCAAATAAGGCTCATCAGGGGAATCAGGGTTTGGGTAGCAAATAAGACCGCGTGACAAATGTTGATGATTCCTACGATTCCTCCGTCAGTTTCTGTACTACTTGACATGTTAAATTAGGCCAGACTAACTTTAGCAATGCCCTAAACAAACGACAATGCCATCGTAAATTAAGATATAGGGTAAAAGGCAAAATGTCTGCTATCTGACATACTGTGGGTCCTTAATATCCAGAAACTCCCAGTCAAAATCAACATGTCCCGAGCAACCTCAATTCTCGTTTGTTCATTCACGGTTTCCGCGAGCGCCTTGAGTGATGACCAATCCCAGGAATTCACGACGCATCAATGACTGCAGTCTGTTTCGCACGGCAGATTGATTGCCGTGGCAGCCTATTTTACCATAGGGGAGGTTGGGTGTCTCGACTGGTGAGCGTAATAGGAAGCTGATCATACCACTTGATAAATTTTCGTTCCATCCATACATGCTTGCTGTCACGTCTCAGAGTCAACTGCCGTGAGCCAACATGTACTTCCCACCTTCACGCTGTGTGGGAGAAGCACCCTCAGTTTTGGGAATACATCAGTCACCCGAGTTCTACTACTCCAATGAGATTCTGTCGCTCACTGCACTCCCCTCCGTCCCGCAAATCTTCGTCCGCCCGGCGAACGACCGCAAGCGCGCTGACGAGATGAAGCAATTCTTCGCACACCCTAAGGGAGATCATCTGACCATGCTCAACGTCTATCACGCATTCAAGGGTGAGGAGGCCCAGGTGAGCCCTAAGCAATGGTGTCACGATCAACATATTAAATAGTGAATTAGCAGTCGTATTACCAAAGCTACGTCCTAGAGAAAAGGCAGACAAAGTTTCCGTAAAGCTCTTGGAGAAAGTGGGTGAAGACTTTGTCGCTCGCCCGAATCGAATGCAACTAGTCTAGACAGCTAATAAAGCATAGTTCTCCAGAGATGGCTCTATCTACCTCTTGCCATTGTTGGAAGGCGCAAGTTTCCATCTTTTTGTAAAATCCATAGTCTTAGCTTGCCTTGTGAGTGGATGGGATGGAATGTACGCGCGTCAACTACCTTGGTGATTTGGTCAATCTCATCGCTTTACTGTACGTAGGCTGGGGAAATTTGGCTCAATGGAGGCAGGTGAGGCAGACCAGTAGGCCAGCTCTTGGAAGTATATCACAAGATTGAGGAAGACTAAGCCAGAGGAAGATGGAAGCAAACCGGCGCGCAATGATCTCGCAACGGCAGGCAAAAAAGAAAGTTAAAAAAAACTGCGAGCAAAAGTACACTTGCAGCACACAATGAGGCAGTCAAGTGGCTCGAAGTGGGTGACGAGGAGGTGGTGTCGTTTGGGACCCACTCGAAACATCAACATTGTATCGACAACTATAGCAGCTTCTACGTGAGAATTAGTGTGCGCTTCGATGAATACTCTAGCGAGTCCCAGGCACTTCCGTGGTCATGACTGGGATGGAACAAACACTCAAAACCAAGTGTCTTCTGAAGAAAGTGGGGGTGCATGGATTGTGCATTAAGCTCGGTGCAAGAGGAGGGACTACCATCATCCGTGATCGCTGTGGGAGTAGTACTTACCGACGTGATCTTGCGGTGATGTTGGAATACTCATGGCTATACTAATTTGACAGGATGATTTACGTTGTTGCAGATGATGATAGTGTTCATTTCTCACAGATGTTCAAGATCCTTGAGGCACTCAATTTAAGCGATCTGGTAAAGAGGCTGCAACATGTCCAGTTCAGCGAAATCTCATGGGTTACTGAAATGCTCGGGAAAGGAAACAAACCACAACTCATTCTTGATAAAACCCTAAAGCGATAACAGCTCTTACAGAAGCCAAAGCAAAGAGAATGGCAGTGATGTGCCGCCATTTACATCAGATCACGGAAGCCCTTGACACTTCTACGCTTCTTATTCAAGACCTATCAACTCACTCAACCAGCGTACATGTACTCAACACCACTGCCCTACCCTGTTGTGAGCTTGGCTCAGGACCTGATCTACCATGTGGACTGATAAGGCTGCACCATCTAAGGACTACGAAGCACTAGTAGACAAGGAACCAGCAAGCTTACTCCGCGTTCCATAACATCCGAAAATCGTAAAGGCTATATATCGCTCGCTTGAACGGGCGGGCATGGTGACATATCTGACGACTGGCACGGAGCAGCTCGTGGAATATCTGGATGATGAAGATAAAGACGAGGATGAAAATGACGACAACGACCACCCGGTTGCTACAACTCCAAGTCTTGCAGCACTCTTAGAGGGGACCGAAAATAGTGCTAGAAATAGCATCAAGTTATCTGGGATGCCGCCACTACCTCACATCCCACCACTGAGCCCAGACCCACCCTCATCCGAGCGAAATCCAGGCTACTCATCTTCACTGCTCTGTTCTCATCAATCCAATCCCAAAAACACATCTCCTCGCCCATGACCCTCCTTACCAGCCGCAAAACTTGTCTCACACCGCTACATCCTGCAATTCTCCTCGTGCCGAATTAGTCTACCGTCAAAGCAACACACAAGCCCCTCATACACGCATAAATCCACAAGTCGCAGAAAAACAACGCATTCATATCTCTCAGAGTATAAAACAAATACTCGTTGGATACCTAGCAGTATACTCAGATGTATTCTACGTCCGTGGTATAGATCAAAGGTAGTGCTGTGGAGAACAAGTCACGTGTATGTTTGTGTATGTTTAGGAAAGCAGGGATATGGCAGTATATATATTTCAGACCTGCGATTCTTGTTTTGCGTGGTGTAGGAGTAGTAGCAGGAGTTGTTTAACGCTAATACCAGCCGTCGAGGAAAAGTAGCAGGACCTGGGCTTTTCTGAAGAGGATTTACTTAAATGTACTTTTGCTAACGTCCATGTTTTACTTTGATGTGAGGAACCTTTGTTTCGAAGTTGCACTCCATACTCCCTAATCTATTCACACCACCACCATACCGGTGCGTTCTACAATCCACAATCCACAGTCCACTTATTTTAGTGTCACAACACACTAGTCACGATATATGCACAAACTCATGCCCTATAAAGCGAGAAACCCAAATTACTACCTCATAATTTAGGAGAAACGGGGGAATATGTGTACGTGCACTTGCTGCATACCTACCTCTCTAATGCATACATCTAGCTCTACTACAACCTTAGCTTGGCTATACATAGGTCAAATGTCCTAGCTCCCCACCCTTTTGCCACGTTTCATGTTTCCCAGGTCCATCTTTTTTAAGAGTGTTGTTCTTATCCAACTCTACTATTTCGCGCACGCAAAGTCCAAACTAACATACCGGTACACAGCCCCCCCCTACCTTGCCCATCCTACATGACTTACAACACGAACCTGCCCAGTTTTTGTGCCCCACCATGCCTGACGAGCATAACAAAACACAAGCCAGCATGACACGAACGTTACGCGTCCAAAGTCCAAAATAATCAATGTAGAAACGCCCCGCACCTACCAACCTCCCCTCGCCCCCACAGGATAAACGCGCGACCTATATGTTGAGGGAAATGCTAATTGTCCTCGCCACAATAGACTAATCGTCCTCGCCCTAAGCACTTAGCGCCAGGTACCCCGGCCGCCTAGCAAATTAGTAGCAAGCCAAGGTAGCACTAACTGTATCGTGCTTTTAAAACGTAAATATCTAGTAAGGAAAAATTCTATAGATAAAAAAATTAAGCGAGCGGTAGTAGGATTGTAGCGGATAACTATCTTAGTAGTTAGTAGTAAGTTAAGTGGGCAGAGGATAAGTATTACTCACATTCACCCACTAGTTTCTAACCTGTACGTGATAGCGCGGTACTAACAGGCGACGTGTTTAGCTAAAATAGGTGCTAAACTCTAGAGCGTGTTTAAGATATCGTGATTTTTTTGTGGTGTTAAGCTCTATAGAAAATTTTTACCCCCTAGTCTAGTCCTATTTAGGAACCCGCTAGTCTTATCTAACCTATTTAGGTTATAGCTAATCCTATCTAAGTTAGATCTAGTCCGTGCATTTAGAACACCAAAACTTCTAACTGCAACCCTCACCTCTACCCTCCACCTCTACCGCAACCCTCACCTCGCCCATCGCAGCCACTAATAGCTTAACCTTGATATCAGCAGTCGGGTTAATATAATCACGTGGTATATCCTTCACTCCTACCCTAGGTTTGCTGGCGAAAGCTGCGACTTCACCGCTGGCGACAGCCGCGAAGCGAATTGGGTAGGTATTGTATCTCCTTGTATCATAGAAAATTACATACAACGCCGAGACGGAGTACTTGGGCGATTACCCCTTGGCGCTTCCCTATTAGGAAGGGCGAGGACGATTAGTCTATTGTGGCGAGGACAATTAGCACTTCCCATATGTTGAAACGCGGCAAGGCTGGAGGGATTGTTGAATCCTAGTCGTCCTACAAAGAAGCGCACGGCAGGACCTTGGCCTTACTTGCATACTGAGGTTGCTGTAACGACGCAGGTAAGTAGGTACGTCCGATAGGGGTGCGATACGACTCAAAGGCATATGGGAGTGCGCGTCTGTATGGAGATAGAACGATTGATTGCTACATCTATAGGTCTTGTACGAAAGGACAAGAGAAACATGTCCATCTATCTATGGGCGAGATGCTGCCTATATACCTAGGGGACTCGGGCCAAAGGTAGGTTCAAGTCAGGGTGCTAGCCCTAGGAATCGACTCGAATAGTCGTGGTGACTATGAGTGGCAGAGTCGTTACAGCCATCCAGCATCCTCATTATTGGCACTGTCATGAGTTAGTAGAATAGACGGGCATCCAGAGAGAAGATCTTACACAATAGGTGAACTAAAGGGTTGTTAGTACATGGTTAAAATACGTCTAGGTACTTAGTAGGCTAAAACGTACACCAGTACCACCATTGCATGGCTCTCTCTCTTGGAAATCTCCTTGGGTAGGATAGGTGCACTGTGCAGGGTCCATGAACGCATTATAACTTTCGTCAGGCAGCACACACTACACTTAAGTTTAGATCTCTCTCTCTAGTAGGCAACTTGTAGTTACTTAACGTACACAGCGATAACTTTCGCCAGGCTGCTTTAAATTAGTGCCTTCCTAAGTATTATAGAGAACTGGATTAGTGTAACTTACATTACATTCTACACCATTTCCTAGTTTTTCCGAATTCTCTGTGGCACAACTCTTGGCTGTAAAAGGAAATCTACCGGTAACTGCAGACGCTACTAGAGCCGGAGCAAGCAAAGTAGTAAGAAGAGTTGCTTGTAGTTGCATGATAATAGTGGCTAATAAAGTAGCAATGTTAGGTGAGAAGAATTGCTATTTAGGCTTTAGAGGGAGGCCACTTTATATACATTCAAGCTGTGGATACAGAAGAGCCTTTGAAAGTACCAGTCTACGGCTTGGATCTCGGAACTAGTGCGGTCCTCCATGACTTGTCGTCTTCGAGTATTATTAGCATACCCTTGGTGATCTTGGAATCAATCCTGTGCAGGTGCTCGTGTCAGAATGTACTATGGTATCAGACAAAAGTGCTCCCCTGTGGGGCGCCTGTGCAACCCCTATATCTAACTATACTAGATTTGGGCGAAATAGTAATATATTTATTTTTTACACTTTCCTAGTACTTTATGTGCCTACCTTAGGCTTAGATTACTACCTAGTAGCAAGCCCTTGTACTATTTACTAATAATCAGAGCCTATTAGGTATAATTGAGTCCTACGCTATACGCACAACCTCTTATAGTTAGGTGTAGATAGTAGTGTAATTAGTGTTTAAGACATAGATACATAGTAGATAGGTAGAGGTGATAGAGGTCGTGATAAAGGTGGTGATAGAGGTTAAGGACTGAGAGATAGAAACATCAAGAAACTTAGGGGTGCATTAATTACGAGGATACGAGTGTAAACGAGGTTTAATCTAAAATGGGTGGGTTGAAGGTATAAAGGAGGGGAGGATCATAGGATAGAACGACAAGCCTCTTGACACTTTGACACATCTTATCAATGGAAGTTTCTTCTCCTCAATTCTTCTCTCAAATCAAGTCGATTACCATGAGTTATCTACTTCCGCGTCCTACCCCTCCTCCTTCTCCTTGTTTGAGTGGGTTACTCTCCCTGTCGGTTCACTATACAAGTTACTATAGATTTGCATGAAGATATCAAAATACAGAGTTTCTAATCTCTGTGAGCACGGCCCTAATCACCCCCAGCAAGTAGACCCACGGGTGAGCACTTTTACCTATTACCATAGTACGCTTCGAGACGCTTATAACGCTCCGCCCTGCAGGAGGTGGGGGAAGGCCCTCGTGTGAGTGGCCATGTTGATTCATGGGCAGACCTTTGTACAACACTAGCTACCCGCCAGGTTCCAGCGAATCCGGCTGCTGACGGCTGCAATCTAGTTGTGACTTGGACACTTGTCTTTCGAGTATCAGCTGATCGTAAGCGACGCACAGTACATGCACAATCGCAGACTCATGGACTCATGGACACATTCCAGGCTCCTGAGTTTATACGCCGCACGGTAGCCACACAAGGTACAAGGCCATAGCCGAATGGGGACGCTGGAGTAGGGAGAAGAGCTCCACTTAGCGAAAGCTCGAGGAAGAGCCAGCGTGACTGACTTGCAGCACCAGAGACGCAGAGTCGAGACGGCCTTGACGACCGCGGGCCGGAGAAGAAAGTAAGCAAACCAAGGGTTAGTGACAAGCAAGTCAGTTGCAACGGTTTTGCGCGGCAATATTACGCTAGCCTACCTCGGTAGGCCATGCATCTTCACGCGATGACGTGCATCGCGCAAGCATGGCGAAGCGACGCCGTCGTGTACGGAATCGAAGTCTGTACAGCAACAATTTTATTACTACAGGTACTATGAAGAACAAGCCAACCGCTGTGGACAGTCGCCTTGAATCGGTAAGATGCTCGGCGGTGTGAAGAATGGTGATTGGCAGTGGGTGCATGCAGTGGTGGGGAAAATATTCTTCAACGTTGACCGTAGCTAGTGCGAGCTGCGCAATACAATACAATAGGAAATAGGCGAGCGGGGAGATCCTTCCAGACTTCCGACGGTAGGGATAGAGATTGCCAAAGAGGGACAAGCCAGGGCCTGGCTTTACCATCTCGACGGACCCGCTTGCAACGGACGTTCCTCGATGCGCTGGTGGGATGTGCTCTGCCTACGCGTGCTGACCTGCATCCTGTGCTTACAGGATTCCTATGCGTAAACTTCGGCAACAGTACCGTGCCATTGGGTCCATTGACGCCAACACACCAAGTCCCGGCAAAGTGCTCACATGCCCTGAGTGGTCCTTGGTTCGGATGGGAGCTGAAAATAGCAAGGATCTGAATCGGTCGTCTATGGCGAGTTTCACCTCGACTTGAAGACCCTGAATGGACAGCCACTGTATAAACAACAAGCTTGGCGGCTTTCAGGTTGACAAGTTGGTGACACCAAAAGGAGGTTCTTGTGACACCAGACGGCTTGAAGGATCCCATCTCGTTCGGGCCGCAAGATGGCAAGTTTGCTGTATCCCACAGCCGAGAGTTGCACGGCAAGTGGACACGTCCAGGTGCATATCGTCAGAATATTGATCGAGTCTCGACGGTGGCTGATAGCACAACCCAGCTATTGCATGCGCAGAATGCGGCGTAGGGGCGACTCCAAGGAAGCAACCTCCCTATGGGCAGCCATCTCCCTCTCAGCGGGACACCATGCATCCATCCGAAGACAGGACAGGTTGTCGAATCGCCAGCAGCTGGTCATCGGTGAGCGAACCCGTTGGAGCCAAGGTGGATGGGAAGATGGAATCCGTTGAATCCTCTCTTCACCCGGGATGGATTCTCATTTCCTTCTTGGGGTCATGGTGCACTGTTCAGTGACTGACGAGCAAGATTGTGACGATGACAGAAAGTGATGATACCTATTCCTACCTACCTAGCGAGGGTGGTCCTCTTGTTTGGTGTGATCGGTGAGATGGCAAAGGCAGAGGCCAATGGGGAGTGGATCGACATGAGGGAACACAACGTCGAAGCCCGGGCTTGCGGCATGAGCTCCTACTCGATTGATACTCGAGCAGCATCTCGTGGCGAGCTAATGCGCGAGATTTAGAGCTGGAAGCGGGCTGTTGATGGCAGGCATCCTTTACAAAGGCACAGCACAGCTAGCAGCTACTCTAGGGATTGGCACGCCACATGACGGTTACGATGCTAGCTGAAGTCAGGATCGGTGTCTGGGGTCTGGCTACTAGCACATTTGAGACGGTGGCTTGAGAGAGAGAGAGAGAGAGAGGAGACGGCAAAAGTAGTCTGGTAAAGGATGGTGAAGGTCGGGCGAAGGATGGGATTTTCAGGAGGCGGATGGATGGTTGATGAATCATGAGATGAGATGAGATGGGATGGGGAAGTGGCTGATGAAGAGGGTGAGTAGTAGCGTGGTAGCGTAGTAGACCGAGGAAGGGACGACCAGCCAGTCCGTCTTGGCAGTGATGAACCCACCACAGGACGGGCACAACGGTCCAGCAGCACACCAGAGGACGACGGGGGGAAGGGGGAGAGGTAGGGCACGCAATCAATTCGTTCTAATATAGCTGCAG